TGTGGCCGTGCCGGTCTCTCTCTCGCACCCTCACGCGACGCCCCGCGAGTGCGAGAGAGACGGGGCCTGGCCTTAGCCTGGAGGAGAAGGCGCCGTAGCAGACGGCGCAGGAGTGTGACTCCAAGTGTTTTCATTTTCGGTCCGAGGTGTTGTTTTTGGGCGGGTAGCGTGACGCATGCAGATGCGTTTTCATACTGCGGTCGAACGCTGAATGTCTCTGTGGTCCACGAGAGAGAGAGAGAGAGAGAGAGAGAGAGAGAGAGAGAGAGAGAGAGAGAGAGAGAGAGAGAGAGAGAGAGAGAGAGAGCCTTGACGCGCACGTGAAAGGTGACATAAGACATCGACCCTTCCCCTCCCTAGCCCGCCCATCTTGATGTCGCAAAGCATCTCTGCATCTGCGAAAGGGCGGCGCGGTGCGGAGAGTCGAACCTCGGACCTCAAACCTCGAGCCGCCGAACCGCCAAACCCGCAAGATGGCGAGGAATGTGTGCAGTCCCCACCGCACTGACTCATGCGTGTGTTGTGAGTGTGTGTGTGTGAGTGTGTGTCATCGCTGGGTCGAAGTGTGTCCGAGCCTCGGTCCGAGCCTCGGTCCGAGTGCTGCCACGCCAAGCGCCACGCCCTGACCCCGCCGACCTCGCCGAAAAGCTGAATGAGGGTCTTGACGTGCTTGGACCGTGGGTAATGGCGCCATACTTCACCGCGGTAAACAGGCGGCCGTGTAAAATCAAAATCAGCCACGGGTCAATAAGAAGTGAACGACGTCGCACTCGTTCGAAAGTACGTAATATCATAATGATAAAGAACAACACGCGTCTTGAGCCGCCAACCCCAGATAAGTGGTCCCCATCCATCATGAGTCACCCCGTGACAATAACACTGCACAGTCGTCGCTCTGTCTCTCTCGCACCTGTGCCGGGCGGCCCGTGAGGGCGAGAAAGACTGCCGGGATGAGTCACATGGCTCCAGATCGGGTAATTACATCGGAATTCCTCACATGGGCCGTCTGGCATCGTCCGACCAGCAGGGTGAGGCAGGGTGAGGCAGGGTGAGGCAGAGGGGTGGGGGTTGGCTGGGTCATTATAAAAGTCTAGGCAAAAGCGCTGCCGGAGAACGGAATCATGACGCAACCAGTTCGAATATACAGAAAAGACACGAAGAGAGTCGTTGCGTAATTGGCCCCATTTTTTTTGTTTCGGAAATTTTCTCAGCAAACACTGTTTAACGGTGTAGTGGCCGAGGGGGGCGAGTTTGGACACTATGATGAAAGCCAGGTCGGAGAGCTCCAGCCTTTGATGCCCACGTAAATAAACAACGCACCGGGCACGCACCCTGCCGTCCTTCACCATCACCGGCATCACCAGCATCACCATCACCATCATGACCAGCATCACATCACCAGCATCACCATCACCAGCCTTGCCGTCAACTTATTCCTAGCCGAGTTCGAAAAGTGCAGCGCTCTGTCAAACGGTCGCAAAAAAAAACAAAAAAAAAACCAGTTACACACCCGCACAAATAACTATTTAATTTTGGTTGGTTTTTTTTTCTTCAAAAAATTGAAGGCGACCGACTTTTCAAGGTTATTGCCCGTTTTCTCCCGAACTTGCAGAACACGAAATCACACTTTTGCTTTCCGTGGTGCGCGGCTGCGGGGCTCTCTGAAGAGACAAGTCGTGCCCCTGGGGCCCAGGGCCTGGGCGCGGCGCCGTGAGAACCAACGAGAGCCCCACAGCCAACAAGTGTACCGACGGGGCAGACAACTTTTTGTTTGTGTTTCTGACTCACTTTTCGCAAATAATTGTCTGGCGCTCATACTACCTCGGACCGAATCGGCTAAACTCACCTGAAAAACATGTTGGCCAGCCTTGCGAATCGAACAACTGTTCTCGGCCAAACACGTTGAGGAGCACGCCGAGCGACGCCGAGAGGGAGAGAGAGGACTTGGCGAGGCGCACCTCGCGAGTACAGTAGACCGGCAACTCGGCGCACAATGTAAACTGTGAGGCCTCAAAGAGGCCGACTAGCAACACCAAACTGCGTAGTGAGGAAGCGGGAGGCGCCAAAAAGGAGAGAGAGAGAGAGAGAGAGAGAGAGAGAGAGAGAGAGAGAGAGAGAGAGAGAGAGAGAGAGAGAGAGAGAGAGAGAGAGAGAGAGAGAGAGAGAGAGAAGCCCTCCGCGAAGGGAACCGAACCGAAGGATCAGAGACAAGAGCACTGCAACCCAAGCCACCGTTATGAGACCTAAACACCCCAAATTACCAATGATTGCCTTTGCAGTTCGCACAGCAGCGCACAGCCTCTGACGCCAGCGGAGGGTATCTTTCGGTTTCCATGGTTGTTTATTTTCGGGCATTCCGGGCACCCTCGGAGGCTCTCGGAGGCTGTCTTTTAATTTTTTTTTCCAAATTAGTGACAGTGTGCGGTGCACTTTCTTCCGCCACGCTCTATACACTGTTGTGACGCTAGCGATGACAAAGATTACCGGGAAGCCTTCCCCGGGGCTGCATCGGTGAAAGTTTGTTAATGATCGACAGGTCAACGGGTCCGTGCGGTTGGCAGTGTCTTTCATTTGTTCTAGGCGCGCAAACGACCACGTCTCACAGTGGGCCAGAAGACCGGTGGACGAGGCGGTCCAAATCCCGGACGCGTTTTGAGCTCTAGAGTCGCTGAATGGCACTCGAACCGAACGTGTGCCCTCACCAATGGATTCCTCGTTCGGAGAGCAACCCATTGGTGGGGTCACACGTTCGGTTCGAGTCCAATTAGCGACTCTGGAGCTCAAAACGCGTCTAGAGTTTTGGCCGCCTTCACCGGTCTTCCGGCCCACTGTGCGTCATACCAACTTGACAAAAACAATTTCCAACGTCACAGTGCTGTCACTCTTTGTTTCGCCCCTGTTTCGTTTTCCGTCTGTACGTTTCTAGCGTTGGCACGAACCTAGTGCGCCACAGAGGAGATACCGAGATAAATGAATAATTTCTCTTGTACTGCGCCATGTAATGGAGACGTGTCTATAGCACACCATTGGTCGGGCCTCGTTCTGTTGCGCGCGCCGTGTGTGTGTGTGTGTGTGTGTGTGTGTGTCTGTGTGTGTGTGTGTGTGCAAGAGACTGCATTCGGTACGACCGTTGTTTACAACTCGCGCTGTGTCCATAACGTTCTATACCCTGTTGCCGCAACGGAAGCCAGCGGAGCGTAGAGACGAGGACACTACACTATACACCAGCGCCACTGCCGCACCGCAACGACGACCATTAGACAGTGGTCCAGAAGACCGGTGGAGTACTGTAGGCCAAAACTCTAGACGCGTTTTGAGCTCACTCGCTCACTCACTCACTCACTCACTCACTCACTCACTCACTCACTCACTCACTCACTCACTCACTCACTCACTCACTCACTCACACACAGACGCAGGATCGCCAAAGGGCTAATGCCCCAAGGGCTTGAAAGGGGGGGGGGATGCGTTTGCGACGCGCACCGGTTGGGTGGTCTTGCGCTGCGCTTGGGATGGAGGCTGGGGCCACTGGGGCCCACTGGACCCCGCTGGACCCCCAGGGACCCTCGGGGACCCCCAGGGGCAGTGGCAGGGTTGTGCCACGGACCCACGGGTCCAGAGGATAACCAGAGGAAGCCGGAGGGATCCAGAGGGAACCCCACGGATTGGTGGGTGCGCGACGCACGGTGAACCAGAAGACCGGTGGAGGCGGCCAAAACTCTTGACGCGTTTTTTGAGCTCCAGTGTCACTGGGACTCGAACCGAACGTGTGACCCCACCGGTGGATTCCTCGTTCGGAGAGCAATCCATTGGTGGGATCGCGCGTTCGATTCAAGTCCCATTTAGCGACTCTGGAGCTCAAAACGCGTCTGGGATTTCGACCGCCTCCACCGGTCTCCTGGCCCATGTGCGTCGGTCCGCTAGCGCTGCGCTGGCTGCGCTGACCGGCCGGTCTGGATGTCTGGATTACGGGCCCCTCCTTGGCTCGGGCTGCTCGGGCCCGTGCCGGCTCTGTCCGCCCTGCCGGCTAGCCCGGCTAGCCGCTAGAAGGGACAGACTATCGGTGAAAGTCCCCACTTTACACCGAATTCGAACGGAACCGGCATAAATTTAGGTCGGCAAGTAATTGTATCTCCCATCGAGGATGCGGCCGATGCGGGGAGGCAGGCAACCCAGGCAACGAGAATTGCGTCACAAAAGCACGCAGAGTCTGTCTCTCTCGCTCTCATGGGGCGTCCCGCATAGGTGCGAGAGAGAAAGTGCTAAGAAAACACCTCCTTTGCCTTGTGCCGATTGGAATTTTCTACTGTGTTCGGACAGCACTAGGAGGCCCCGCGGGCTGCCGGCAGACGGGCGGACAGTCAGACAGGCAAACATACCGAGTGGTGGTCTCCCCGTTCCCCCCTTCCCGTGTAACGAAATTAATAAAACAAATACCCGGCAGACAAACGAATAAAATAATGAAGAGAGCGACCCAAAGCCATCAGGAGCGGTAAGCCGCCGAGCAGCAGCCGAGGGGGAGAGAGAGAGAGAGAGAGAGAGAGAGAGAGAGAGAGAGAGAGAGAGAGAGAGAGAGAGAGAGAGAGAGAGAGAGAGAGAGAGAGAGAGAGAACCGCAGTGGTGATTTTCCGGTGGACCTAACCTGCATCTCAACAGCAGGGGTTCGGCTGCGTCGCTGCGTCTGGCTTCCCCGGCTTGCCTGGCTGGCCGCTCCGCGTCGTTTTGCTGGGCTCGGCGGCGTCGCTCTGTCTCTCTCGTACCGCTGGATTGCGTCGTGAGTGCGAGAGACAGAGCGACCTCGCCCTGGCCAATGGGAGCGCTGAGCTGCACGCTGCGCTGCCGGTCGTCACGACGCGATCGGCGCTGCAGAGTTCTGGGCAGTGGCTCAGCCAATCACAGGGCTCCATTTCAAATTTCGCGCTAGAACGGTCGTGTATGACGTATGTGTGTGTAGGGATTGGTAGCTCAGCGCCAAGGATAAGCAAGCAGGGACTACGGAAGATAATTCATAAAAATGGATTTTATTTGCGGGTCTTAGTATCTATTGACATTTTTTACACTTATATCTGATATATACAAAATCTCTGTACAAGCGATATTCACAAATGTAGAATACATGAAGTATTTGCATGTATTTGTTTAATTTTTACATTCATGGTTTACATCACGTCTTTTACACTTTTAAACACGGCACATATTTACAATATTCACACAGCAAATAAATATAAAATTCCTCAATACAGGTACAAAATATATGCTGCCTTGTCTGTATGGCGGGTGCCACAACAACATTCAAAACACATAGGAATCAAGTCTAGGACGAATAGGGGCAACTGGACTCAGTCCGAAGGAAACGAAAACTCCCGCTCCGAGCCGAAATCAAATACGGAGCGGGAGGTAGAGTCGGAACAGGCACACACACCGACTCTCACTCGCACGCACGCACGCACGCACACACACACACACTCACACAGTCAGGACTTGCACTCACTGGTAGGCACCTGTTCGAATAAAAAGTGACAATAAAATCGGCCGAAGCAAGCAGCCTCTGTGTCGTAAGGTAAAAGCCAGGCTGAGGAAAAAAAAACTGACGAGATTTAATGATGGTCCCCTGATTATTTTCTGCAAGGAAGCCCCCATAATGCCTAATGGTATTTGGCGCTTTGCCATACAGCTCCCATGTCATAGCACCATGATTCATTTATGGCAATAATTATTATTTAACATTGACATACTTAGATTATTCTCTCACATCATTCCTCCATGGCAAAGAAGTTGATCATACAACAACGTATCAAACTAATACTAAAACGCATACCTCTTGGCAGTTTTGATCATCAGCTGATGGACTAGATCTGCCAAATTTCCTCGCATAACTTCATTCGCATCACATAATTTAAAAAAAATAAGGCTAAACAACATAAATAACAAGTCATGTACAATTCTGTGGAGAGTTACACAGCGTAATCTCCAAATTACAATATCAGCATGCTGCACACTACAATTTACAGAAACGTCTAAAAATATATTGGCTTTGACAAATATCACAAATTACAAAAATATGATGCTAACATAAATTGGAATTTGGGATATATATATAACGGCTTACAGGTTACATTGTACGGTCGTTCACCAAAAATAAAACAAGTCTTAACAAATTGGCGTTTTTCGAGGATGGCTCGCAAAAGGCAAGAAAGGTGTTCGATTGAGAGCGAAAAGGCAGAACGCGGAATAAAATAATTGCGGAGGCACATTGATATTTTATTTCATGTCCTCGGACGGCATTAACGCGAGAGGCGAAACACTTGCGACGGCACTGGTCCCGCTCTCGCCATGCTTGGCCATGCTCTCGCCGCGGCGCGCCGGCCCCCGATGCTCCACAGCCTATTCCACCTAACGGCTGGCAGGGCCGGGCAGGGCAGGCGGAGCCGTTAGGCGGGACGCGTTTTGGCCTCACTGGGATCTTATATGTCAACTGCACATATAGAGAATCAGTGACACCCTCGGGGGGCCGCGCGGAAAACTACGCGGAAGCAGACTAGCGGGGGCAGCTCAGCTCGGCTGCTAGTCTGCCCGAGCAACACACTCACACAAAGAAATAATCCATCGTAAGCTAACCCACATGCACAGTACGCGGTCACTTTCGAGCAAACGTGTGCATGTCTGTTAATTTACGATAGTTAACGTAACAAATTTTTTTTATGCAAAAAGATAAAACTATATAAAAAAAGAAATAAACAGGTTTGTAACGAAGGGCCCCGCCATGGCACAGTTCACGACTCAGGCCGTTTAGATAAGACTCGTTTCGTGATAGAAACAACAAGTCCGACGGGCTTTGGCTGGAAGCCCGCATTCTCGACGGGGAGGGGAGGAGGGAGAGTCGCCGCACCACCGGGACCACTTTTCCAAATTTTCGTTCCTTTTGCTTTTTCTATACAAAAATAATTTAGTTACTTTTTAAAATAAACAATTCATTGGCTTCATTTGACGAGGCGGACGCGTTGCTGCCAGAGCAGCGCTCCGCCGCGTCGCTTTCAAAAGACGAGAGAAACAAAAATTGCGCCGCAGCCCGGAGTTGAACCCGTGCCGGCGGCCGCCGACGCCGACTCTTAAACCACGCGGCTACGAGGGTGCTACCTGCAGCCGCAGCCGATCACGGCCATGTCCTGGTAGTTCTTGAGCACCACCTTGCCCTCCTCGTCCGTGTACAGCATGGAGATGCTGGTGAGCTGCGTGGGCACGCAGCACGCCTTGGGCACGGCGCCGGGGTTCACGGAGTGCATGAGGGTCTGCACGATGGCGTGGTTGGTGGAGTTGAGGTGGTCGGCCAGCGGGAAGGGGCAGTCGCCGTGGCAGTAGAAGGCCTCGTAGCCGGGCGGCGCCACGATCCAGTCGTTCCAGCCCACGTCGGCGAAGTCGACGTACAGCGGGTGCCGCCGGCAGTTCTCTGTGCCGTTCTTCCGCTTGTGCTTGCGGTGGTGGTGCTGGCCGTGCTGGCCGTGCTGGCCGTGGGCGGCGTGCGCGCGCTTGGACCGCGCGGGCCGCGCGGGGATGCGCCCGTCGTCCGTGTAGGTGAAGAGCAGCGGCTGCACGCGCTGCCACTCGGCCTCCTCGACGTCCTCGTCGGCGTGCCGCCGCAGCCGGACGTGGCGGTGCGCGTCCGCGACGTCCGCGCTGCCGTTGGAGGACGCCGTCATGCTGACCAGCAGCCCGTGGTTGCCGCCGGGGTCCTCCAGCCAGCGGTGCACGGCGGGCAGCACGTCCAGCCGCACGTCGCCGTCCTCGAGCACGTCCACGACGCGCGCGTCCACCAGCCGCGTGATGGGCGGCCGCACGCCCCGCACGCCGGGCCGCACGATGTCGTGCACCTGGACCCGCAGGTGCACTCTCGACGCCGCCCTCGACGCCGTCCTCGACGCCGTCCTGGACAGCGCGCGCCGACTCAGCTGCAGCTCCGCCGCCTCCAGCCGCTCCTCGCGCGGGACGCCCCCCGGGCCCGCCACGTCGAACATGAGCCGAAACCGGTCCGGCCTCCGGAACGACGCGTCCACGCCGCTCACTGCAACATAACACAGCACGTCACCAACACGTCACTAGCGCGTCACGGGCGTCACGGCGGCCAAGCGCGCCGGCGGAAGGCGCAGCGACCTGGGATCGAACCCGCGACCTTACCGCCGCCGCGCCAAACACGAAGCCACGCAACAAAAACAACAAAAAACCGCGGACCATTCCAGCTCCAGATGCCTCTCCTCTCATGCACGAATTCTCCAGGCCAAACAATCGAAATGCCATCGCGGCCGAGTGGGGGCAGTGGCTAAAGCCACCGCACAGTGGGCCAGAAGACCGGTGGAGGCGGTCAAAATCGTTTTGAACTGCTGAGTCGCTGAATGGGACTCGAACCGAACGTGTGGCCCCACCAATGGATTGCTCTCCGAACGAGCAATCCATTGGTGGGGTCACACGTTCGGTTTGAGTTTCAATTAGCGACTCTGGAGCTCAAAACGCGTCTAGAGTTTTGGCCGCCTCCACCGGTCTTCTGGCCCACTGTGCGGCACGGCACTGGCACCGCGATGCACCCCGTAATGCATGGCCGCGAGGGACACTAATAAATCAGCGGGCTCTATCGCGAGAGAGATGTCGCAGGCCCCCTCCCCGCCTCTCCCCTCTCCCCCCCTCTTTACCCTACTCGACTCAAATAATGCTTTCGCATGGAGAGCCGCGTATGACTTATTGGCACGATTATACAGGAAGGCTGTGTTTTTAGTTCCCTCCCCCCTACACACTCTCGCACTCACACACTCACGCGCACGCCACGCACCCTCCTTCTCTCTCTTCCTGCATATTCCCTCCTTGTTTTTCATCTGCAATATTAAAAACGAGAGCCGGTCAGCGAGGAGAAACACAGCACCGTGTTTTTATGCGAGCTGGGGCAACAAAGTTGCACCAATCTGTGTCCAGCGTCCGCACACACACACACACACACACACACACACGCACACATACATATATGCACTCACTCACACACACACACACGCAGTCTCTTATTATTTCCTCTCCCGATGCATGCGAGCAGCGGGTAGAACAACTCCCGAGAGCGGAGGAATTAACGGGAAACTCGAGAGGCGAGCGATAATTTTAATTTGTTTATAATCTTTCGGAAAAATACAGACACTCGTTTGAAACTCGACCCGCGCGCCACTGCAACAGCTTCCGCGCGGAATCTTTTTTTTAGGATGGACAAAAATGTATTTACCAATCCGTTTTTAAACCGTTTTTTTCATCAGCCTTCTTTTTAATTTTTTTTTTGCTGGTGTACTTGCGGGGCACTACGCACGACAACGCACGCACAATAGGCAGTAGGCGCTGCGACGCACAGCGTGCAGCACAGTGCAGCACAGTGCGCCTCCGGGCCGTATAACCCTCAGGGCCTCAGGGAGCTAGACGCGATAACCAACACACACACAAGCGCGCAAACACACACACACACACACACACACACACACACACACACACACCACACACGCGCGCGCGCGCGCACACGCGCACAGACACACACGCACGCACACGCACACACGCGCGCAAGTCGTGGCATCGCGTACCCAGGCCAAGTGTTGTCTCTCTTAAAGGTGACGCGGGTGTCTGATGGGAAATGGTAGGGGTGGGCCGTTTCCTCGAGAACCGATAATTCCTGTTTCTGATTCCAAGTTTAGGAGAAAATGCATTTGGCAAAGAGGAGTACGCTAGGCCGGTATACTCGAACCCGGGCCAGAGAGAGAGAGAGGGGGGGGGGGGGAGAGGTCGCTGTGATGTCATAACGGTCGCGGGTTCGAATACAGGATCCTGTTCGGCTTTTCGCTGGGCTCACCTTGATGCGGGAAGGATCTGACGGTGTTGGCGGACCTGGTGAGCCTGCCGGGCAGCGGCAGTGCCGCCGTGTCCAGGTCCATGCCGGTCTGCAGCTTGTAGAGCTGCACCATGGCCTCGGGGATCACCACCTTGCCGACGGGCTTGGGCCTCTTGTTGAAGCCGAACAGCGACAGCAGGTTCTTCTCCACCTTCTGCAGCACCTCGGGCGGCGGCCGCTGGCGCGGCGGCGTGCTAGGGGCGTCGTCGGCGACCTCGTTGGCGGCGACCTCGTTGGCGGCGACCTCGTCGTCCAGGGCCAGGGCGTGCGCGGGCGGGGCTAGGGGCGTCAGGAGCGTCGCTAGCACGAGCAGCACCATCAGCAGCCCGCGCATGGTCGCTCTCACTCCTGCAACAAGGAGACGGAGCCGCGTGAGGAAGAGAAAGACAGGTTCCGGGCAGTTCTGCCTTTTGGCAGTGTAGTGGCCGTGAGTCACGGCGGGGCGGCACCCTCGCGGTGTCGGCCGTCTCGGGGGAGGGCACTTCCGCCCACACCTGGCGTCGCCGGCGCTCTCAGGTGACGCAAAGAACCCTAACCCTGACCCTCACGCTGCCGGCCGCACATAAACAGACGGACGGACAGACAGGCGGGCGGCGCGTCGTCGGGGGGTGGTCGATCCAAATTTATCCCAGTGGCATTGCACGCCACTGCATACCGGCTTCCAAAATAACCGGGCGAGGTGCGGAATGCTGGAGCGACTGGAGCGGCCGGCTGGAAGCCATGCTGGAAGCGTTACGGAGAGAAAGCCGGCCGATGCGGCACCATGCGGCACCGAGCGGCACGCGCCGCCACACCAGCCTTGCCACACAAGTAGGCGAAAATTAGGGTTGCCAACCTCAGCCCGTCACACAAGTGGGTGGAAATTAGGGTTGCCAATCTCGGCCCGTCACACATGCGGGCGGAAATTAGGGTTGCCAACCTCAGCCCGTCACACCAGCAGGCGAAAATTAGGGTTGCCAACCACAAGCAGGCTGCCCCGTGGGTGGGCGGAGGTTGGCAACCCTACATCAAGGGATTTTTTCGGCGACTTCCCATGGCAAGTGACTGTGACAAAGTGAGGTGGCTTCCGGCCGCCTGGCACGCAGGCCGCCGCGCGGCACGGCTGTGTTCGGGTTGCCTACCCTGCACGGCGCTCTCGGGACTGCAGCTTGGCCCCGGCTTGGCGGCGGGCAGCGCCCGGCAGCGCCAACCATCCGTCTTTGTTTTCATTTTTGTCGTTTCTTTTCTCGGCCCGCTGGAGGAGTAACGGGAGCGTACCCTGTCAACCGCGACTGTCAACGGCCCGTCAACGGCCCGTCAAGGTCAACCCCGATTGACACGTCAACGCCGCAGTGAAATCGCTGTCCGTGCCTCAAGGCAACGACCCACGCGCCGCTCGCCAGCCCCGCCAGCCCGCTAGACTGCCTTATCCTCGGGCTTATTTTTACTTTTTGGAGCGAACGAAAGAGAGAGAGAGAGAGAGAGAGAGAGAGAGAGAGAGAGAGAGAGAGAGAGAGAGAGAGAGAGAGAGAGAGAGAGAGAGAGAGAGAGAGAATGGGCGAGGCAACGGTAATCTGAGGGAGCTTATTACAAACATAGCTTTGGCAGTACATGCAGCCAGGCGGCCCCTGATAAGTAAGCCAGTGAGTGACCGAAATAGAACGGGCGGACCGACTTGCCACGCTTGCCACGCTTGCCATGCACGGCCGGCTCGGTCGACGTCGTCATCTGCCCGCGAACACCCGCCCCGCCCCGCCCCGCCCCAGGTGACCGGTTGGGCGAGTACCTGGGTACCTGTGAGCCACAGGCAGCCACAGGCAGCAGCCACAGCGCGGCGGGTTTAGCCGATCCCGAGCCGGCCGGCCGGTGCGAGGCGGCGGGGCGGGGCGGGGCGGGGCGGGGCCGGCTGCGTTTAGAAACGGCACCCGAATCCGCGCGCCCACCACAAGGGACCCGCATGCAAGGCAGCCTCTGAGAGTGTGTGTGTCTCCAGGCGGTTTCCGCGCGAAAATCCAGCAGGGATTTGAACCGAGCGACGCCGCAGCGCACAAGACACGCGGCGTCGCGGCACGGCTGCCTGCCTCGTCTGGGCGGCGTGCCGTCGGCGTGCTGGCGGCCAGCCGCACGGCAGCCAAATGGCGATCCAATAGCCAGGCCCCCTTCCCTTTTTATGCATTTTGTCGTCCTGAGAGGTACGCCCCGACTGGACGGGTTGAGGCTGCGCGTCGAGGACCGACGATGCCCCTCGAAGCCCTTCCTGGCGAACAGACGGGCGGACGGACGGACGGACGGAAGGACAGACAGACAGACAGACAGGCAGACAGACAGACAGGCAGACAGACAGACAGACAGACAGACAGACAGACAGACAGACAGACATGCTGTCGCAGACAGGCCGCTCCAGGACGCCCCCTCCGCGGAGCCCTGAGGCCTGAGGCGCCCGAGGCCCCTGAGGGTGCAGCTGGTGCAGTGCGCAAAGTGGCCACTACACTGTGCCACGCGAAGGACCGAGCTAATGCGCTGCCCTGAAGCGAGTCAATGGAATTAGTGTTTACGCGGAAAAGCTAACTGCTGCCGTGGTGTCCACGCTCCCCCCTCCACGCACCCCACCGGGTCATGTTTTAGGAAGCTGTTGTTCCTCGTACTACTTTTCTTTTCTTTTTCTAATTTTCTGCTAATGAGAGCCTCGGGCAGGTCGGAGAAGCAGAGACGGTCGACGTGTCGACGTGGAACCGCACTGCCGAAGCGACGTGTCACACGACGTGTCACACGACGTGTCACACCACGGGGCGAGGGGCAACCAACCCCCGTCTCTCTCGCACCCATGCGGGATGCCCCACGAGTGCGACCGAGACAGAGCGACGAAACGACTGGCCGCGGCCTTCTCCTCGCTTTGCCTGCAGACTCATTCCGAGAGTCTCGCTCTGTCTCTCTCGCGACGGTATACGGGGCGCCGCGCGAGTGCGAGAGAGACAGTCTGCGGGTTTGCGTTCGCCTCCGCCGCGCCGCGCTGTCTGCGCAGTCCGTCTCGACGTGGCGAGCGTCGCGCGTCGCGCCGGGAAGCGTCTTATCTCGCTCTGCCCACACACTGCGGCCAACACGACGCAGTTAAAAATGAAAAAAAAGAGAACCTTTTTCTTGCAGAAAAAAGCAAACCTTTTTTCCAAAAAACAGAAAACCTTTTTTTAGCAGAGAAAAGTGGACTTTAATAGCAGAAAAAAATTAACTTTTTTTTGCAGAAGAGAGTTAACTTTTTTGGCAGAAAAAAGTAAACATTTTTGGCAGAAAAAAGTAAACTTTTTTCGCAGTTGGCATTATGTGAGTGCGTGCGACGGGCTGACTGGGCCGGACGGGCCGGCGGGCATACGCTGAGGTTATCGGTCCGGCAGCACGTGTCGCCGGGTTGGCAGCACTGACGTGTACTGACGTCGATGACTGTGTTGGCGGCTCCGGGCGGCACTGGGCGCTGAGCACTGGGCGGCGCAGCGCGGTGCGTTATGTTGGCAGCGCCGTTTGCGAGTTTCCTGGTCGCGCCCACGTCAGCGCGTCACCTCAGCGCTCCGTAAGTTTGGCGGGGAGGGCAACCGCGTTGTCGTCTGCTCCCAAGGTCCCGCCCCGCCCCGCCCCGCCCGAAAGGTTACACACATTGTCAGCCAGCTTCCGACGCCTTCGGTCCAAAGATGATGCAAGAGGCAGGCTTCTCTAAAGTTTTTTTTTTCAAATTTTTTAGTTTTGAAAATGCAAAAATAAAACAAAAATTAGGAACAGGAATGTGCGCAAAATTATGACTAGTTGTTGCCCTCTCGAGGCAGCCTGGCGTGGACGTGGATAGCATTCCGCTGCTGGAGTCAAATTGAGAAATTGTGGTGCGGCGGGGCGGGGCGGGGCGGGGTGGGGCGGGGCGACCGCAACCACGGCGGCGCCAAGCCGTCTGGCCGTACTCCGCCACCACGCCCTATCGAGGCAACGGAGCGTGGTCCAAAAAGACGATTTGCATTGAGAGGACTGGGCGACTGGCCAGCCAGGCCAGGCCGGCTGGATTGACTAAGGTCACATCGACCCAGCGACCGTGCCGCCGTGCCGTGCCGCCGTGCCGTGCCGCCGTGCCGTGCCGCCGCGCGAGGCTGCTGGCCGTTCCAGCCGCTGTTCCAGCAGTTCCAGGGCACGGCAGTGGAAAGTGGCCCGGCCGGCCCACAGTGGGCCAGAAGACCGGTGGAGGCGGCCAAAACTCTAGACGCGTTTTCAGCTCCACAGTCGCTCAAAATGGGACTCGAACCGAACGTGTGACCCCACCAATGGATTGCTCTCCGGACGAGGAATCCATTGGTGGGGTCAAACGTTCGTTTCGAGTTTCTTTTAGCGACTCTGGAGCCCGAAACGCGTCTAAAATTTTGCCCGCCTCCAGCGGTCTTCTGGCCCACTGTGCGGCTGGGCCCCCCTCGGTGGACGCGCCGCGCCGAACGTAGACTACACGGGGGCGGACTAGGAACTGCCAACTTCACAAAAAATATTTTTTCGGAAAACAAAAGCATCCGCGTTTCAGCTTGGAAACGGTAAAATATTGGGCAGTGACAGATATTTGTTTAAAAAATACAAATGAAAATAGAAACTGAGATCAAAACTCAAGTAGTCTTTTGCAAACAGCTCGAAACGCCAAGAAAAAGGAGATCCTAAAGTATGAAAAAATTAAAAGAAGTTACTGTATCCTGGTTCCATAGAACTTGCAAGTGAAGATGCCTCATTCCAGGTAAAGTGTCTTATTTCAAGAATGGTCTTATTTTTCTGCGAGTGCCAGAGAGACGTTTGAAATTTGGTCCAGAGTTCGGCACTGGCGCGTTCACGCGGCTTGAGCGCGTTCAAGTCCCCGGGAGACCGTGCCACGGCGTGCCACGCCCGAGTCAACGACCGAAGCACGGCCACGGCCTGGCCCACGGCCCGGCCAAAGCACGGCCACTGTCAATGTCAAGCAGATATCGGCCTCGCCCAGCCTCGCCCAGCCCCGCCACTGGAAGTGGGCCCGACGGCCCATGCGCTCGGAATTAGCAATGCGCCATTATTTTTCGCTTCCGGGCGGCCCGGTCTCCGCTTCCACCTTTTTTTTTTGCCATCCCCGGCAACATGCTTGCGCTTCACTTACAAATCCATACAAGGCGGAGATCGACCGGGGATACTACAGTGTGCTGGATGGAGACATCTCGACTCCCCGGACTCCCCTCGGGACTCTCGGACGCCGGCAAAAGGAGCAACGGACGAGCGTATTGGCTGTATTGGCCTGTATCGCTACGAGCCATCGCGCATCCGCGCGCATCGGCGGCGTCGGTCGACACACTGGGCCAGTTTGCCGCCCCGATGGACACTTGTCCGTGTAA